GGATCCATCTGTGTGTGGTGGCTCTTGAGGCACTGACTCCAGCCTCAGTCCACTCCTTGTGAAAGTCCCCAACACATTTGAATGGCCTTTTCCTGAAAATCCTCTTCAGGCTGAGGTCATCCCTGCTGCTTGTGCACCTTTTTCTTCCACACTTTTCCCTTCCACATAACTTTCTATTAATGTGCTTTGATACAGCACTTTGGGAACATCCAACTTCCTTCGCAATTACCTTTTGAGGCTTTCCCTCCTTATGGAGGGTGTCAATGATGGTTTTCTGCACAACTGTCAGGTCAGCCGTCTTCCCCATGATTGTGATTCCTACTGAACCAGACTGAGAGACAATTTAAAGGCTCAGAAACCCTTTGCAGGTGTTATGGCTTACTTAGCTGATTAGAGTGGGACACTGTGGGCCTAGAATATTGCATCTTTTCACAATATTCTGATTTACTGAGATTGGGGATTTGGGGTTTTCATGAGCTGTAAGCCATAATCATCGCACTTATGACAAATCACGGCTTGAACTATCTTGCTTTGCATGTAATGCGTCTATCTCATATATCAGTTTCCCCTTTTACGTTGCATTACTGAAATAAATGAACTTTTGCACGATATTCTAATTTGTCAAGTATCAGTATATTGATAGATCGTATGTAAAATTCCAAATGTATTCAGTATACACAAAAGACCCATATTGAATTACAGCCATTTTTTTGCATTACTTCACATCTAAATTACCTTTGCTAAAAAAAAAAATCAGTAATCAAAATAGTTTAACATTATTGTAATAATGTTCTATTTATGTGATAAACTACACAAAAACATGAGTTGCTGTGAAATAACGTCCTCATACCTTTTTGCAGCCAGGTGTCTCGCAGCAGCATATTTGTCCGCAGGGTTTCGTATTAATAGAGCATCTCTCTCCTGTCTCTAGGAGGAGATTCTCATAAAAGGCTATACAATCGTCAGCCATATTCCTGGAATTCAAAAAGAAGAGACATTGACAAAAATAGTGTTACAAGGAGTCTTGCTAGCAATGTATATTCATGTGATTATAGTAAATAAGAAAAACAGACATAAAAGATTTAAGAGCTTGGAATGAGCAAACGGCATCAGCATAGTTGCTAACGCCCACATCATTTTAATAAGGAAAACCACTAATCAAATTCAAGACTTTAATAAAATGATTCATTATTGAGCACAGTACCTTTTTTTGTTGAGACGAACCAAATCACTGACATTATAAGGCAGGTATATGTCTACTACCTTGAAGTTAGGATAAGCCTCACTAGGAGAGGAGATAGAGTGAATTAGAGGGACTCCATAAATAATAAACTATCAAAGTATTACTATTACGTGACAAGACACAATAGAAATGATCTACCAGAAGGTGAAATTTCGACGTCACTGCTTTCAACATGTAAATTCTGCATGCTGTCAAACAGGGTTTTTACACAGAAAGCAGAGTATGGAAGCGGCTATGCCATCCAAAAAATATTTTGTGCATTTTATAAAGTTAATATCTTTATGAAATGCTTGTAAAGACTGCATTGGAAGATGTGAAGACCATAAAAGTTGACAGAGCCGATTTAAGGTGTATTAATGCTGGTGCTTAGAGTGTCCCTTTAACGTCTCAATGGGACTAATTCCATATACCATATGGACACATCTTACAGCCCTGGTATTCCTGCATAGCAGTGTACCGCAGTCCATACATGAAAAGAATCATTTTTAAAAAAGGTTCATATTATTCCCTGACTCCACTGACTGACTTTGTGCAATGTTGTTGCACTGCTAATTAGATCACCTTATTTTGCTAATTGTATAATTCGAATATTGTACGGTTGGTACTTTAAAATCTACACGCTGAAAATGTATAAATGGGATTTTAAAAAAATAACTGTTCTTGTTAAACAGACCTTTTAGTTTGCTTAAATAAAATTATTACGAAAGTCAAGAATTACATAAAAAAGTTAATGATTATGGAAAATGTCCTTTAAAACTCAGGACCAACACGGCAGTCACTGATCACCATAGGCTTGGTTTGTGGATATTTGTGTCCTGAAAGCAATTATAAATGAAAGTAAATAATTTCATCCAAATAATTTTGTTTGCAAATGTAGTTGGGGTTTGGCCTTCCATGTAAGATGTAAATGGTTTGAAGTGTGTCATGACCTCTCTAGGCCTTTGTGAAACTGAGCCAGGTTAGTCCCTAAACACCCTTCAAAATTCTCAAAAATAAGAAAGGTAGCAGATCACATATTGGAGGTCTTCTGCCCAGTAAGAGTCACATTCTGTACCTGAAATGTCTGTGGATGGTCTCTTTGTCTACACATTTGGGCAATCCAGTGATAATTAGATTTTTCTTCACCTGCAGGAAAATGGTGGCAACACAATAATCAATATAGATAAAATACAATAAAGTGTTAGATAACATACAGGCTACCAAAACAAAGACAGAAGGTGTCTGTAGCAAGTGTGTTAAAAAATGATAAGCTTAGAGTCATGTCTGCAAATGCTCGCAGTTTAGGGAATAAGATCTATGAATTTGTGGCAATAATGGTAACTGATAATGTAGATTTAGTCGCTGTTACTGAGACATGGTATAATGAGAAAAATGACTGGGACATAGCAATACCAGGGTACTCTTTATATAGAGAAGGCAAGAAAGGGGGAGGGGTGGCCCTGTATGTGAAGGATAGCATAAAATCTAGCCTAATAAAAGTTAGTGAGGCGAACATAGAGTCTGTTTGGGTTACGTTAGAATTTGGTAATCACACAGTGACTCTTGTAGGTGTGATTTATAGGCCCCCAGGACAAATAGAAGAGTTAGATAATCTACTAGTTGAGGAAATAGCTAAAATGACAATGAAGGGGGAAGTTATCATCATCTGTGACTTTAATCTTCCTGATGTGAATTGGAAAACAAAAATAGCTGCTTGTGCCAGGAGCACACATATTCTAAATTCCCTACTGGGATTGTCTCTAAAACAAGTCGTTGAGGAGCCAACTCGTAAAGAGGTCATACTAGATTTAGTGTTAACAAATGGAAATTTTGTATCAGATATTACTGTAGGTGAAAGTGTAGGATCCAGTGATCATCAGTCAGTGTGGTTTAATATAAGAACAGTGACTGAGTCACACCACACAAAAACAAAAGTTTTAAACTTTAAAAAAACTGACTTTTCTAAAATTAGAATATGTGTAAAGGGATCATTATCAGACTGGAGCAATTTAAATGGAGTCCAAGAGAAATGGGATTATTTAAAAGTTGCACTGCTGAAGGCAACAGAAAATTGCATTAGGCTTGTCAGTAAAAGCAAAAAAAAATCAAGAAACCACTGTGGTACTCTGCAGATGTGGCCAAAATAGTAAAAAATCAAAAAGTTAGCATTTAGCAATTATGAAAAAAAACAGTGAGGAAGACAGAATGATCTATAAGATTAGGCAGAAAGAGGCTAAGCAAGTTATAAGAGCTTCCAAATCACACACAAAAGAGAAAATAGCACAGTCAGTAAAAAAGGGGACAAAACATTTTTTAGATACATAAATGAGAAAAGGAAAGTAAAACAAGGATTAGTTAGATTGAAAACAAAAGAAGGAAGGTATGTAGAAGAGGATAAAGGTCTAGCTGACTGCCTCAATATTTTTGTTCAGTATTTACAGATGAAAATGAAGGAAAGGGACCTCAGTTAGGAAAAAGGTCAAATTAGTCATTTGATACATGTGAGTTTACAGAGGAAGAGGTTTTATTTTAACTATCAAAAGTAAAGACAAATAAGTCAATGGGACCGGATGGAATACACCCAAAGTTATTAAAAGAGCTTAGTGGTGTACTAGCAAAACCTTTAACAGATTTATTTAACCAACCATTGTTAACAGGAGTAGTCCCAGAAGATTGGAAGTTAGCGAATGATGTGCCCATTCACAAGAAAGGTAATAGGGAGGAGTCGGGCAACTATAGGCCAGTAAGCCTTACTTCAGTAGTGGGGAAAGTAATGGAAACCATGTTAAAGGATAGGATTGTTGAACATCTAAAAACACATGGATTTCAAGATCAGAGACAACATGGGTTTACTTCAGGGAGATCATGCCAAACTAATCTTTTTGACTTTTTTGACTGGGTAACTAAAATGATAGTTCAGGGTGGTGCAGTAGACGTTGCTTACCTAGATTTCAGTAAGTCTTTTGACACTGTTGCACATAGAAGGCTTATCAATAAATGGCAATCTTTAAGTTTGGATTCAAATATAATTGAATGGGTAAGGCAGTGGCTGACTGACAGGCAACAGAGGGTTGTAGTCAATGGAGTATATTCAGAGCTTGGGCTTGTCACCAGTGGGGTACCTCAGGGATCTGTACTTGGACCGATTCTCTTTAATATTTTTATTAGTGATATTGCAGAAGGTCTTGATGGTAAGGTATGTCTTTTTGCTGATAAAACTAAGATATGCAACACAGTTCATGTTCCAGGAGGGATAAGCCAAACAGCAAATGATTTAGGTAAATTAGAAAAATGGTCAGAGTTGTGGCAACTGACATTTAATGTGGATAAGTGCAAGATAATGCAGCTTGGACGTAAAAACCCAAGGGCAGAGTACAGAATATTTGATAGAGTCCTAACCTCAACATATGAGGAAAGGTATTTAGGGGTGATTATTTCTGATGACTTAAAGGTAGGCAGACAATGTAATAGAGCAGCAGGAAATGCTAGCAGAATGCTTGGTTGTATAGGGAGAGGTATTAGCAGTAGAAAGAGGGAAGTGCTCATGCCATTGTACAGAACACTGGTGAGACCTCACTTGGAGTATTGTACACAGTACTGGAGACCGTATCTTCAGAAGGATATTGATACCTTAGAGAGGGTTCAGAGAAGGGATACTAAACTGGTTCATGGATTGCGGGATAAAACTTACCAGGAAAGGTTAAAGGATCTTAACATGTATAGCTTGGAGGAAAGACGAGACAGGGGGGATATGATAGAAATATTTAAATATATAAAGGGAATCAACACAGTAAAGGAGGAGACTATATTTAAAAGAAGAAAAACTACCACAACAAGAGGACATAGTCTTAAATTAGAGGGACAAAGGTTTAAAAATAATATCAGGAAGTATTACTTTACTGAGAGGGTAGTGGATGCATGGAATAGCCTTCCAGCTGAAGTGGTAGAGGTTAACACAGTAAAGGAGTGTAAGCATGCGTGGGATAGGCATAAGGCTATCCTAACTATAAGATAAGGCCAGGGACTAATGAAAGTATTTAGAAAATTGGGCAGACTAGATGGGCCGAATGGTTCTTATCTGCCGTCACATTCTATGTTTCTACTGATCTTTGATATTCCAGCACTATTGAAAAGTATAAAAACTCTTCAATAGCCCACAGCAGAAAACCCTACATTGTTTGTACTAGCAACTACAATTCTTGAAAAAGAGTTAAAAGGGAAGTAAGTTAAATTTTTGTCAGAACTATCATGAAAACAGCTTTTGATTCCTTGTGGCAAATATTAATAAATGCCACTTTGCTGTGATATAATGACTATCAGCATTTAGTTTTGAGGAGGTCCGGTTTTCATTCCAGTCCTTGTAAATGTTATCACCATTATTAGGCTGCTGTCACACTTCTAGTTAGACTGGTGACTGCTTCCTGTAGAATACTAAGGGACGTTATCACTTTACAAAAAAATCATTGGTTCATATATCCTACAACAGATCTAAAGCTACCATTACATGATAATCCCCTTAAATCTACGGGACCTATGTATGCCTGGTAAAGGTGAAGTGACATTTTCTGTGTGCATTCTAGCTTCTTGTCCTGATAACTTCCAATAGTTAGAGAAGACAAATCAACACTTTTAACAAAACACATAGCAAATACAATCTTATAAATAAACGTTCATATTCACATGTATTTTGACTGGAGTTGAGCGGACACCTAGATGTTCGGGTCCGGCGGGTTCGGCCGAACTTTGAAAAAAAGTCCGGGTTCGGGATCGAACTTGACCCCGAGTTTGACCTCGAACCTGAACCCCATTGAAGTCAATGGGGACCCGAACTTTTGGGCACAAAAATGCCTCTAAAAAAGTCATGGAAAGGGCTAGAGGGCTGCAAAAGGAAGTAAAATGGGGGTAAGAGTAGGACTAGTGCCCTGCAAACAAATGTGGATAGGGAAATCACTTAACCCCTTAAGGACACATGACATGTGTGACATGTCATGATTCCCTTTTATTCCAGAAGTTTGGTCCTTAAGGGGTTAAAATAACATAAAATACATAAAAATTAAAAATACAGCTGAGCCATAAAATAGCACTAGATGGAATCTTTGATTTTAGCTTTGGAAGAACAGAAATCAAAATCTAAAGCATGGCTGTCAGGAGGATCACCAGAATTATCCATTTGAGAGAGGGTTGGAGTGCAGGGTATTCTCTTTCATTGTTCAAACTGAGCTCAACTCCTGATGCATGGAGAAAAGGCCTTCACAAGCCTCTGCTATTGTGTACATAGTTTATACTAAGCAGGGCCGGACTGGGAGAAAAATTCGGCCCGGGCATTTTTTTAACACAGCGGCCCACTAAAAAGGGGGCGGGGCAGAGGAGGTGTGTTTTGTCATCACCAATGACAAACACGCCTCCTCTCAAAGTGAGCATGTTGGTTCAATGCTCTTCCAGGGCAGACCATGCGCAGAGCTCTGCTGAAGAGCTCTAGCATGAGAAAAAGTCCTGTATTTGTTCTGCACAGTGCAAGCAAATTTAATAACATGCTTGCACTGTGTTTCCTTGCAACTTGTCTCTGGTGTCTCTATAAATGGATACCAGGAGACAAAAGGCCAGGACAGAGTATTGTGCATGTGTTTGGAGCCTGCTTGTGGTATTGCGTGTGTGTAGAGTGAGCTGGTCGTGGTGTGGTATTGTGTAATAAGGTCGGTTTTAGTCGTGTTGTGTTTGTGGTGTAATGTGATGCATATGTGGCTCAGGGACCCCCTCCCGCCCGGCTCTGGAAAGGGGTTAAAACTTACCTTTTTCCAGCGCCGGGCGGGGAGCTCTCCTCCTCCGATCCGCCCCGTCGGCTGAATGCGCACGCGCGGCAAGAGCTGCGCACGCATTCAGCCGGTCGCATAGGAAAGCATTTATAATGCTTTCCTATGGACGCTTGCGTGCTCTCACTGTGATTTTCACAGTGAAAAGCACGCAAGCGCCTCTAGCGGCTGTCAATGAGACAGCTGCTAGAGGCTTTGGGGGAAGGCTTAACCCATTGATAAACATAGCAGTTTCTCTGAAACTGCTATGTTTATAAAACAATGGGTTAACCCTAGAAGGACCTGGCACCAAGACCACTTCATTAAGCTGAAGTGGTCTGGGTGGCTAGAGTGGTCCTTTAAGAGTGTAGTGTGTGTGTGTGTATATATATATATTTGGAAGTATTGTGTATGTGTGTGGTGCAGTGTGTTGGGGGGGTTCTGTGTGTATGTGAGGGGTGCAGTATGTGTGTGTGTGAGGGTGCGGTGTATGTGTGTGTGTGAGGGTGCGGTGTGTGTGTGATGTGTGTGAGAGTGCCGTGTGTGAGTGTGTGTGAGAGTGCCGTGTGTGAGTGATGGGTGTGAGAGTGCTGTGTGAGATGGGTGTGAGAGAGTGCTCTGTGAGAGTGCTGTGAGAGAGTGCTGTGTGTGTGTGAAAGTGCTGTGTGTGATGGGTGTGAGAGTGCTGTGTGTGTGTGAGTGCTCTGTGAGAGTGCGCTGTGTGTGATGGTGTGAGAGTGCTGGGTGTGAGAGTGCTGTGTGTGATGGGTAAGAGAGTGCTGGGTGTGAGTGCTGTGTGTGATAGTGCTGTGTGTGATAGTGCTGTGTGTGATAGTGCTGTGTGTGATAGTGCTGTGTGTGATGGGTGTGAGAGTGCTGTGTGAGAGAGTGCTGTGTGTGATGGGTGTGAGAGTGCTGTGTGAGAGAGTGCTGTGTGTAATGTGTGTGAGAGTGCTGTGTGTGATGGGTGAGAGTGCTGTGTGTGAGAGTGCTGTGTGTAATGTGTGTGAGAGTGCTGTGTGTGTGTGAGAGTGCTGTGTGAGAGAGTGCTGTGTGTGATGGGTGTGAGAGTGCTGTGGGAGAGAGTGCTGTGTATGATGGGTGTGAGAGTGCTGTGGGAGAGAGTGCTGTGTGTGATGGGTGTGAGAGTGCTGTGGGAGAGAGTGCTGTGTGTGATGGGTGTGAGAGTGCTGTGGGAGAGAGTGCTGTGTGTGATGGGTGTGAGAGTGCTGTGGGAGAGAGTGCTGTGTGTGATGGGTGTGAGAGTGCTGTATAAATGTTATTGTGTGTGTGTGTAGGGGGGGTAAATAAAAAAAATAAAAAAAAGTCATTATTTCCCCCCCTCCCTTCTTACCTTTAGCCTGGGAGGGGGGGTCCGGCACGCTGGAAGGCGGGGTGGCGGGGTTCCCTGGTGGTCCTCGTGGGTGAGTGAACTCTAGCCTGTGAGGCTAGAGTTCACTCTCGCGAGATCCGGTCGTTGCCATGGCAACGCACCGGATCTCGCGAGAGGAACCCGGCGGAGCTGCAAGTTAGAGCTCCGCCGGTACCTGGTCCTCTCTCCAGCCTAGCTGGCTGTCTCCCTCCCTCCCTCCCCGCCGGCGGCCGCATGTGGGCCGGTCAGGGAGATCCTTGATCCCCCCACCGGCCCGTCGTGACAAACAGCGGGGCCGGCGCTAGGAGAGTGCCGGCCCTGCATAGACCAGCAGGGGAGATCCTGTGATCTCCCCTGCCGGCCTCGGCCCATGGCCACCGCGGCCCACCGGGCATTTGCCCGGTGTGCCTGATGGCCAGTCCGGGCCTGATACTAAGTGACCCATAGGTTGAGAAGGAGGTAGCCAACACCGTTTTTTATTTGTTTTTGGTTTTTTTGGTTTTTTTAATTGGGGTAGCCGCCAAAATATTCGAACATATAAAAAAAGAAAACTCTGTTCCGCAGTACGTGCTGCAGCTGAAAATCCACTATCGCCTGCTGCTGCTCGCACAGTCTCATGAGGCTGTGAGCAGGAAGGCCGAAGTTACGCTGACAGCGCAAACAGGTGAGCAGCAGCAGGGTGAGAACAGTCGGCCCGCACTTTCTGCAGCAGCTCTGATATATCTGGGTATACACCGTGGCGGTGTAGGTGGAAGCGGCGGTGGAGGAGGAGCAGGAGGTAGCCAACACTGTTTTTTATTTGTTTGTTTATTTTCTTTATTTTTTTATTTTTTTTTATTGGGGTAGCCCCCAAAATATTGGGACATATAAAAAAACAAAAAAAAGAATAAGTGCAATTGAGTATAACAATGGCTGGGTGAGGCCAGTACAAATGTCTATTCTGCACAATGTACAGACAAGTCTGGTGGGATCCATGCCTGGTTCATTTTAACAAACGTGAGCTTGTCCACGTTGGCTGTGGAAAGGCGGCTGCGCTTGTCTGTGATAACGCCCCCTGCCGTGCTAAACACACGTTCAGACAATACACTGGCTGCAGGGCAGGCCAGCACCTCCAAGGCATAAAGGGCAAGCTCAGACCCAATTTGGAGACACAGAAGTTGAATGGGGCAGACCCATCAGTCAGTACGTGTAGGCGTGTGCACACGTACTGTTCCACCATGTTGCTGAAATGCTGCCTCCTGCAAAGACGTTCCATATCAGCTGGTGTTGCTGGTTGTTGTGGCGTGCTGACAAAGCTTTTACACATTTCAGCCATGCTAACCCTGCCTTCTGAGGTGCTGACGGTGCCCCAGCTGCGTTGGCGACTTCTTCCTCCTCCTCTGCCTTCGCCTTGTGCTTCCACTGAGCCCCCGGTGTCAGTTGGGAATGCCCTCAGCAGCGCGTCTACCAGCGTGCGTTGGTATTCACGCATCTTCCGATCACGTACCAGTGAGGGAATTAAGGACGGCACGTTGTCCTTGTAATGGGGATCCAGCAGGGTGGCCATCCAGTAATCAGCACAAGTTAGAATGTGGGCAACTCGGCAGTCGTTGCGCAGGCACTGCAGCATGTAGTCGCTCATGTGTGCCAGGCTGCCCAGAGGCAAGGACAAGCTGTCCTCTGTGGGAGGTGTATCGTCTGTGTCCTCGGTATCCCCCCAGCCAGGCTCTAGTGATGCCCACGAGCTGTGTAGGGTGACACCCTGATGTGAACACAGTTCCTCCTCCTCCTCCTCCTCATCATCCTCAGCCTCCTCCTCCACATCCTCCAGAACATTGCAGGAACCCACCCTCCTAGCCACTTGTGAATGACTGGCCTGACAA